CTGCCTTGCATATCAAATGGTGCGCTGCTGCTGCTGCTGCTGCTGACGACAGCCATCGCCAGCAACAAGGACTAGTGACAGGACAGCACTTTATGGCATTTCTTTGGCAACATCTTGATAATGACCAGTGACCTCAATACCAATACGAGCAGCAGGCAAACAGGAGCAACACATGCGCGTCCTCTAACACACTTTCACTTCCTGCCTGCCCGGCGAGACGCCTCCACGCAACTGTGTTAAACATTCTCTTGGCAACACTTTCTCTAGGGGGGAGGCGGGGGAAAGCAAAGAAGTGCTGTATGGTGTGGTATGTGGTGTTTGGGTTTTTTGCTTTTAATGTACATTTTTTCACACTAAACACGTGCATAAATCATGAGGCTCGTGCGCTCAACTTTTGCTCAAGGCTAAGTCCCAGCGTTGCCTGCAGATTTGCTGGCTTTTCGTCTTTGTTTGCCCCACCCCGCGAGTTACTCCATAATGTCACTAGGCACATTGAGGGCAGCCCGACTTTGCCTTCTATGCAAAATGCATCAAATAATAATACATAATGCAGCTTGCTGGCAACATGCAGCAGGGAGCATGCCGCATGCAGCATGCAGCAGCTGCTGTTGCAGCAGGACACTTGTCCTGATTATGGCTTGTGCCACTGTGTAAAGTGTCGACCTAAAGCAGCCAGAGTCGCCTTGTTGGTGGTTGCAACAGCAGCTGTTGCAATGTTACTGTTGCATTTGCATTTGCATTTCTCTCTGTCTTGCTCTCGCTCTATCCCCCTCTCTTTTTTTTGTTGTTGTGTGCTTCTTGTCTGTTTGTCCTGGCAAACATTTGTTTTGACTGCTGCGACACGGGACCAAATGGGCTGGGTATGTTGTATATGGCCAACACCAGGGCTTGGCATTAAAATTTATGTCGGGGCTGACACATTAAATTTTGTCATGGATTTTGTCAGCCTCGTCCTCTCTGTCTTCTGAGCCCTTGCCCCCTATTAACTGCTGCTGTTGATGTGTTTATCATTATATCTATGCGAAAATGTTGTTGTTAATTAGCTCACAGTTTATGCGGCTGCATTGAGAATTCCGCCGATGGGCGAGTCATGGGCGTGACTCTATTAAATGGGTTTAAGGAAATTAGACATTAAATTCTTAAGGCAATGGCCATGCCACTGAAATTATTGCTATTATACAGAGGTCCCTCGATAAATGTAACACTTCAAAGAAAAATAAAAACCTTTTGTTTTTAGTGCAATAGCTCATCCAACATCAGGCAAATATGTGCTATATTTTAATAATTCATATTCCATCATATTATTTTGTACGATAGTAAAACTCGATATTGCTGAGCATAAAATATTTATTAAATCAGAATCTTCATCTTTACCTTTGAAAATGAAGTCCAAAAATAAGTTTTGGTTCTGATTTTCATTCAGGAACGTTGAATTCTGAAAAAGAACTTGAATAAAAGTTTTGCTTTTAACCGATTTTTCGCCAATTTTCCACAATTACGGGTGGAATTTGTTAATACCGCGTCTCACTTTCCTAGCCCTTATGGCCTCGACTGTCAGTTAGTTAGGCAAACAGTTTAATAAATACATTCATTATTTATGATTTAAGAAGAGTTTTGAAAAAGATCAAAACTCAATACTACCAAATATGTTTTACAATTAAAACGATTATATTTAAAACGTCTTATTATGAACAATTCTTATTTCTGAAAATTGAAATTTCTAGAGGTTTTCATGTTCGAGCGACAACTGTATAAAAATTCACGTAGTTAGCTTTTGGCCTATGCCCTTTGTGACATTACGGATGTGCTGGCATTTAAATCATTCTGCCAATTGACTTATTTGGTAACGTTAGTTGCTTGTTTGGGGATTGGTGGGTGGACTTGGTGTTACCATTCCTTCCACCCTTTGGGCCAACTTCAGGCATAATTCTTTCCACAACTGGCAGCTGGCAGTTTCTCAACGCTGTACACATTCACGCCCAAAAGCTGGCAATAAAATGCCACCGCCAAAGGGGTAATGCGGGCCACGCCCACACGAGAGCTGCCTTTCAATTTCAGTTTGGAACACATTTTTGCATGGCAAGGAGAATGGCAATAAGAAACGATAGTGTGTGCAAAGGGTGGCCGGGATCGGGAAATGCAAATGGTATGGGGCACTGCAATGGCGAAAGTCTGCAATTGTTTGCACTTGCTCCATATTCGTTATACATATATACCCTTCCAGAGGGTATTTTAAGTTTGTAAGTCCGCTTAGTATATATATATTCTTCATCCGTAATAAAATGCAATCATTTTGCCACAAGAATATGTTATTAAATTGCAATTTCGTGTTTGTCCAACGAAAAAATAGCACAATTCACCCCTTTGTTGGGAAGGGCGTGTGGGGGCGTGTGCTGCATTTAGTGCAAAATTTGCACTCTTCTTTCGGCTCAAGCTCATATATTACTTATTTACACGGCAGGCCTTTAAACAAATTGCATAAACATTTGTTACCTGACTAAAGCAGCTTTTGTGCTGTTCTACACACATATATTTATTTATTTTATTTCTGTGTGTGCGACCTAGGCTGGCCTGAAAAAAAAATGCATTTTTATAGCCGCGCTCTGCTTTTACGTTCTTAAGTCCATTTTATACCTGTTGTTTATTTATGGGTGTTTTTCGCGCCCCAATCCCCATTTTAGCCATTGGCTTGGTCATATTTGTTTCCCTTGCTTTTGTTTTCACTTCAATTTATTTTATATTTTTTCATGCCGCGCATTTTCTTTACGGTTCTGCGCTAAAAATGAATATTTGGGTATTGGCCTGGATAATAATTCTAATGTCTAAATTGTTAAAATTAAATTTATATATATCCAAGAATATATATGGAATAAATATATTAAAATGTATAAATTCAACTGTTAACAAGACAGCTTATAAGAAAAATAACAAACATCAATTAAATGTGAACGTTCTGATAGTTTATAAACACACGCATTGAGCCTAAGGAAATATGTATTTATTTTAACAAATTATGATATTGCATTAATATTTATACTAATATTCACATATTTATTTCGGTTTATTTATAGGTAAGCTTTTCGATCCTTAATGGAATACAAATTGGTTATAATCTTGCAAAATAGCGTATGGTGAATATAAACATTTGATTTTTCGAAAATATCTGAATTTTTGTTTTTTAATGTTCATGTTTAAATTCATGAATTAAAGCTCCTTTAAAGCTGAGACTTCATCTCAGCTCATTTTTTCACTCTCTCAAAGAAATAATTTAATTATTTCTCGATAAACCATCTATTGTTGACAAAGTCTTAATTTAAATCCAAGATACATAGAACAACTATTTAAAACAAATCGAATTGGTTACGCACAAGCTGTCAATATTTAAAGGAACCCTTGAGACCCTCAAATAGGGAATAAGGAACGCCGGGCTTGCGGTCTGATCGATGGCCAAAAGCCATTCATTTAAAGGACATCATAATCAAGTCCCAAAAGACAAACGGGCGGGCAAACAGCAATCTGTCAGGGTATACAAATACATACGAGCAAAAATTATTATTTAATTACTCACACCGACTCTTGCAGATGCTGTGTGGCAATTAAATCAATATAAAAGAGCTACAAAATGAATGCATAAATAATTGATTTCATTTTCCATGCTCGTCTCAAAGTAGAGAGAAAGAGGGTCGAATCCTGTCTGTGGTTTGGTTTCGCTAGTATGTTATTTATTTATATGCCTTTATATACAAAAATTGTGTGTTTAACTTTTCGATATGCACACAGCTCTCTGAATCGCACATTTTTCCAGACTTAAAAAGGCTCGAAGTGCATTCATATTATATACCTAATTGGTAAAGAACGAGGCACACAATCCCCAGTTCAAGCAAACTATTGTTAATCGGAGATCATACCAATTATTTATTATGTTAACAAGATTCTCCATTCAAATATACCATTTCATAATAATAAAACTCTACCTAATTGAATAAACCCAAAGAAAAATAAATAATTTTTATTAAATTTCCAATTTCATAGTAAACTTGCGAAATCAGTTCTTATTAACTATGATCAGATTTAAGTTCCCTATAATCTAGAGAGAGAGCGAGCAAGAGAGAAATATATATGGTCATATTTCTAAATAAATAAATAAAAGAGCATCAATATTTGCTTCTCGAAATCTAGAAAATGTTAATAATTGTGTAGAGTATATAACAAAGTCAAGTTGTTCTCTGCATAGCTTTTAAATTTTTTAAATCTTTCGAGCGCTAGTTTAATTAAAAAAGAGTAGCTTTTTTAATTTTCATAAATATATTTGATTGTTTATATTATCTCACCATCATTTTTTACATCGAATTTTACTCCGTAATTTCCTTGATACCAAGCCCCGGGCATAGCGTACGAATATTGCAAATATAAATTACAAATTTATGTGTTTAAATTTCGACGCGGCTTTGTTGCTGTCAGTGCCATCCATTTTACATTATGAATTTATGTGCAGTCTTTGAAAAAAAAAACACATTCCACATATACAAATTTATATTGATGTGTGCATATGTATTTGTATGCATTCCACATTTTCAGGGCAGTTGTGCCCTCGAAAAGAGCAAACTAACAAAAACCAACAAGACGAGCTGTTTGTGTGTGTGAGTGAGTGTGTATGAACATATGTGTGAGCTTATAGCATATATTGTAAATAGGAATATGAAACGACGCCATGAGATCCAATATTAAATATACTCGGACTTATAGTCTGACACTGGCACGTTCTGTCGCTAGGGCTATCTGACTGTGCGTCAGCTCATTCCCTACATCATGTGACTGGCGTGTGGAAGGGAGTGTAGGGCAGGCTTGAATGTGTTCCCTGCTGCGGCTCGTTTGTCTGTAACGCAGTATGACACTTGTGCTCGAATGCAGCTGCACAGCTACACTGCTGCAGCTTTGTTTATAAAATGATGTATGTTAAAAAAATAAAATAAATAGTTTAATAATTATCGTTTATTTAAATGATTTTTGAACAATTTTGCCAAATTTTAGATCTCATTTAATTTTCTATCGGTCGAATCATCATTTGAACAAATTTAACTGAAATTGAATTCCATTTTATACCAGGTTGATCTTCATTCGTAGTATATAATCCATTTAGATTACTACAAATTTTAAAAAAGTTTATGTACTGGAAATTGTTAAATATTGCAAAAGCTTACCAATGAGAACAATTATGATACCACCAGCCAGATTCGTAGCGCATGGCGCACTCATTATCCATGTCTGCAGTTGAGAACATGGTGTTGTTGTGTTTGGTCAACCAATCGCCAGCATTGCCAGAATATTCTCCAAGAATCCTTAACATATACGATGCAGCCTCGTCAGCTATCAGAAGCTCACTGTATCGGGCATAACGATGTTGATTTTCAAAATCCTCAAGATGTATATATAACTCGTGTTTCTGTGACTTGGTCATTAAATGCAGTTTCTCAAGACCGATAAAAAATTCTCCATCCAGACTACCAAATCCCTGACGATATTCTGCCCAGTTTCGGTTAAAATTAACGCTTCCATCCTGACGCCTCTGTATGACTGTCCAACCGGAACCAGCCAAAGTGGAGTCACAGGGCACCAGAAATGGGTCGATGCCAGGCACTTCTATCTCGTAAATTTCGGTCAATTTACCAATACAATTTGACTTAAAGGATTTTACCAGTTTATTTGCATCGCTTAGCAAAACTCTAGATAGTAGTTGATCAATTATCATTTCTTTAGCCTTGTTGTTTATTTCACAGACACTTAAATTGGTTTGCATCGCTCCTAATAGTTTCTGATGTGCTATTATCATTTCCTCTTGCTCCATAATCTGCTGGTGTAAACCTTGTATGTTCATTGTTTGTTCAAGTGTGGGCTTTATTTTATACACAAAATATGCTGACCAGCTTTCTTCCATTTCTTTGATAAAATCTTCCCTAGATTTTACCTTCGGCATATTGGGAACCTCACTCACTGGCTCCTCCTGTTTTTTCTGATGATTTTCTGATTTTAATATCCAAATGACTACGCACGCTATTAAAATAATTTGTAATTCTGAACTCATGCTTATTGAAAATACCCGATTACGATCATCACACAGTCAAGTTCAATAGAAGACTGAATCTGTTTTTGAGCGCGAACCGGCCATGAAGCCTTGTGTTTATACTCATGTGTACATGTATATAAGCTGCTCAATTTGCAGCTGTTGCTTCTCTAATATTTAAAAGCTAACTGATATGAGTACATTTATATTTTTCTTTAGCTATCGCACGTACGTTATTTTAAAGGGTGAAAGTAATTGTTTCCATTTTTTATTGTTCCCATAATATATACCAATACTACAAAAATTAATTGAAAAATAAAATAGCTTTGCCTAACGGAGAACTATGTAAGTCAGCATACATATCGGTATGTTAATGTACTCAACGGCTGCCCTGCTATGTAAAATATTGATATTGTTTGCTTTCAGTCGAATCATCACCCAGTTGGTTTAACTGAGCTGCGTAGCAAGTAAAATATTGAAATAAATAATAAATAATGCTGACTACTGAATATATATTTAACTACTTAAATTGGCTGATACGGGAGCGATTCTTTGCATTTTTAAATTTCATGGATTAAGTGAACACAATGTAGAAAATAAGAAAGGAATTAGTGGGAAAAATAAGTCGACATCTTTTGTGTCCTGAATATGTTTTAAAATAATTTTCAAAGACGAATGTTGTTTAATTTATACTAAAAATAATTAATGAAAAAAAGAGTCAAACAAGTTTGTTGATACACTTTCAATTGCCATTCTTTACCATTAAATTAGTTACTTTGTCTGTCGTGAGCAGCTACTTTAAACACAAATTATCACATTATTAATGCATAAGTTTTGCCCCACTGTGCCATTGAACTCAGCTCTTGTGTGGCTTTCTTTATTTGTTTACCCAACTTGTGTGACGGGGAGCAGCCAACCCAAGATGCTACCCGACAATTACATTGCCGGCACAATTTATTCATGTTTTGCAACCTTTCTTTGGGCATTAGACGGTAGCTATTGTTTTCAATGGAGCGACAATGGCGCCGGCTCATTGAGTCAGTGAGTCAGTCGACTCCGGGAATCAGCTGCACATGTTGGGGTCTGGCTTTTGGCTTGCTTGACAACCGCAGGCTCAGTTCCTGCGGCTTCCATTTTCATCATCATAAAGTCCGTTGAAAGGAAATCGATATGGGTAACTTAATCATGAAATGAAGTCGACGTCAAGTTGTCTTATATTTTCCATTTTCATGCTACTTCCTAATACGGTCTCAATTGAGCTTTTTGACTGTTTCATGTTGTATGAAACATTTTTTTTCTTTTGTATTTTTTGCGACTTCTGTTTATATTGGATTTAATGCTGTTGTGATGTTAAGTTATGAAATAGTGAGAAATAAGAATTAAAGGAATATTTTATTGTGCATGTGAGGAGATCAATTTTATTATTCTTTTTATTGTAATTATTATTATTATAATATTATTATAATTTTTTATGCATTTTGTTCATTGTGAATTCTTTGCTATGATAGTTTGAGTATTTAAATTAATTATATAAAAAATAATAAAATAAAAAAAAAATTTTAGAAGTTGTATTGCAAACTTCTATTTCCTTTTAAATGTTCGAATACAATAAAAAGTTTCGTTCTGTACAGTTTAGTATAGTGTCTAGGGTGTCTAGGGTATTAATTACAAGGAATACTGCTCTTTGCTTTGCCAATGACGTTGTTTTAGTTGTTGTTGTTGTTTTGTTGTTGTCGTCTCATCGCCTCCATGTGGGTGCTGTTGTTCGTGCGTCGCCAACTACTTTTCCACTTGGGGCTTTGTTTACCTATGAGCGATAGTTCGAATGCAAGCGATAGTACGGAGCGGGTAAAACTTGTTCCTTGGTTTTGTTTATTTTCATGTCTAAGTTGGATTACTTGTTTTCTAAAAAAAGTCTTTCTATACGCTTTGGCTTATGGCTGCCTTCAATCAGTTGCCCTAGCCCTAACTATTCCTCCTGCTTTTCTTTTGCTGCAACCAATTTTGTTCATTTCCGTTGCGACTCCATTGAAGTTTCGACTTACTTTACACATTTAGCTGGAATGCAGGTCAGTGCTGTGCACTTTTATATTAATTTTATGGCTCCGTGCTCAAACGCCCGATTCGAGCTGCTTGGTAAACTAACAACAATCGTGGCATGCACTCGCAGTCATTCGCCATGGCATTCTGAGCAGGTAGCTGCACTTAAGGCTTATTGTTTCGTTATGCAAATATCTATCAAAGTTCCTTTTCTACTACATATGGTTAAAAGCGCTGCTAGTACACAACCCAAGTGATACGAAAGGAATAACTTTTCTTAAAACAAAGCACATATCTATATTTTCGAACAATAATTTGTTTGATTATTGTATTCAACCTTATCAATTCATTATTGGTCTTATCATCATTTGAACAAATTTCAGAGATTTATAATGCCATGTGTTCCACTTAATTCCAGGTTCAGATAAATTAACTGCGTTTGTAGTGAATAGTCCATTTAGATTACTGAAAGTGAGAACATTTAAATATTATTACTATTTTTGTTCTATTATTAATTTTAAATATTTACGTAACAAAACAGTCGTCAAACCACCAGCCAGATTTCCATTTTGAAGCGCAATTATTCATGTTGTTGTCATTATCCGAATCAGAAGTTGTGAACCTCATGTTTCTTTGCCATTTCATTGCATCGCCAGCGTCTCCGGAATATGAACCGAGCGAGATTAATTTAAAACCAGTTTCCTCGCCGCCTATCATAAACTGACTGTATCGGGCATAACGTTGTTCATTTTCAAAGTCCTCAAGGTATATATATAGTTCGTGTGTTTGCGACTTGGTAAGAATGTGCAGCTTCTCAAGTCCAATGAAAAACTCCCCATGCATATCACCAAATCCGTGACGATAATTGTCCCAGTTTCTGTTGAAATTAACGCTTCCATCCTGGCGCCTCTGTATGACAGTCCAACCGGAGCCGGCCAAACTCGAGTCACAGAGCACCGGAAATGATTCGATGCCAGGCACTTTGATCTCGTAAATATCGGTCAATTTACCTATACAACTCGATGATTGTGATTCTTTCAATTTTACTTTATACTCAGCCAGTTTCTCTTTCAGTTGAGTGTTTAGCTTAATTAAGTTTTTAATTTCCAACCGCAGTTTATCGATAAACGTATCCTGCAACTCAATCGTGTGGTCTCTAGATCGAGTCACGTTCTCGCACCATTCAGTCCTGAGAAGCTGTTGTGCTAACTGAAACTCGATATGCTTAACCGTTTGCTCGCAAACTCCAACTCTTATTTTCATATTTGAATATTTTTCCCACAGTTCTTCTGCCTTTATTTGTGTACGAGCTCTCAAGTACGGGTTGTTCCGTACCCAGACAGTATGTTGAGTATTTTTGTTCCAGTAGCTTTTCTTAAAATAAAAAAATCGTTATGTTACTTATATTAGATGAAACTAAATTTTTTTGTTGTACTTCATTGTTAACCGCAGACGAATTATTTTCACTATCCGACCTTTTGAGCACAGCAATGATTAATACAAAGCCGTAGCTTAACAAGTTTTTCATTTCCGCAAGAAATCTATTTCAACCGTCAACCCTTGGCTCCAAACTGAATCTGACTTGGCTGAAAGTTGGCAATGAATCCCGATTTAGATTTTCTAATACACAAACAGATGATATTTTTTCCAATTTCACGCAGCTGTTAATGTATACACTTGTAATTTGATAAGTTTCTTAATTGTCTGTAGTCTGGCGTCACTTTAGTGTTTTTAACAGCCAATTTTCTACAGTTTACATTAAAAACAATATCGTCCATTTGTTAAGCTAACACTAACAGATAAGCTTATTCCAATATATGTAATATTTATTTATATATTTATAATTATATATACGACATGATATTTTAATAAACATATATTTACATTATTTTTCGTTGCAAATAGTTACTATCCAAATATCTAAAAAATTATGAAAAAATACTATTTAATATTCAACTCACAAATATAAGATTTCAATAACGTATACATTTATGTTAAAAAATTAATAATTTATGGTAAATGTATATGTAATTATCTTCAGCTTAGTTGATACAAAAAAATCGAATATATTGCGGAACTTGTAGAATAATTTCTAGCTATCAACAGTCTCTATTCAATGGATAAGTGTAGAAATATAAGGTAAATAAATACATTTTACGAAGCCTACTTTTTGGAGGCTTAAAATGTGACTGTCAACGGGAACTAAATTACGCAAACGTGCTTGCATTTTATTTAACATATCATGTAACACCACACAATGACCCACATGGAAGCCGTTTCGTAGTTGTCCTAGAAAAAATGCCCTTCAATTATTTGCAACATTTTTTGTCCACAGCTCTGACAAGGCACCATTTTGAACATTGGGCGAGGCTGCAAGGAAACGAAACGAACAGCAAAAAATATATTAAATATTTCATGTTATTTAAAGTTCATTAAAAATGGATGTTCAGCGTAAAAGAGATTGACAGATGGGAAGAGGAGGCAGAGACTGCAGCATTTATATAACTGCTCCCATTATTTTCAAAGGTTTTTTTTATTTTATTTAGTTACTTTTTTTTTACTTTTATTTATGCGTTTGCAATATTTCAGTTTCAGCTAGCCGCAAGTCCGGCAAGCAATTAGCAAAGTTTTACAGTTCAATTGTGCGGCAGATTTTTGCAATCGTTTTGACAGTTTGGCAACGCGCTTGAATTGTCATCAGCAACCCACAAAACTCCCTCCTGGCCAACAACAACAACAACAACGACAACAAACATATAAATTAACTTTTAGTGTACAGCTGTTGATACTTTTTGATCACACTAGCACTGCACAAAATTGGGAGTTGCTTTACAAATACACGAGTGCACAGCAATGAAAATGCGAGCCATGTGTAGACATATATTTTGCATTTTGAATGTAGTTGACAACTCTATTTCAGACAATGACGACAGGCAACAATCCACCCAATGCGGGTGACAACTTTTATTATTTTCCATATGCATACATATCTCTCTATGTGAGCGTGAGTGTGTGACTTTTCTACTTGGTTATTTGTCAAGTGGGTTTAAGCGGCTTGTTTCTTATTCTTGTACAAGTTTTATACATTTTCTATTGAAAAGAAGTATTGTATTGAAAAAGTACAGTAACAGTAACAGTAACAGTTGAATTAGCATTTGCAGTTAACGTTAAAGTTAAAGTTTATTATATTTTTATATTTTATTCAATACATACCTACGTTGGCACTTGTTTTGTCATTAATAAGTAAAGAAATAGATGTTAATATTAATATAAGAATTAATTAACAGAAGCTTACGCAATTTCCCAACAGGGATTGCAAGCTTAACGGAACAGATACAATAACAGATTAAAGTCAATTTAACACTATTTAACTAAAATCGTAATACCAAAACATGAATAAAAAAAATATATAATTTGGACAAAAAAGTTGATTTAAACAATTACTTAAACCTTCCGGATTATAAAAATCTAAAGATTTTATATGAAATATTTTAACACAAATTTAAAGCGCAGCTAACTTCAGTATAAACCAGGACAAAAACTGGAATCAACTTAAATTAACTTTGCATATATATATATATATATATATATATATATTTTCTGATTTTATATGTTGACAACAATTTCATGTCGTCTTACGCTTAGTGGACATTTCGCTTACTAGCTACGACCCAGTTATTCTGAATAACTGGCGTTGTTCAACACTATCCTGTTACAACTATGCCAAACAATATAAAGTGGGAGTGGTAGCGGGTGTGAGAGAAATAAAAATACAAACATTGCGCACAATAGTTGAGTAAAATAAACAAAACTTTTCGCCTGCCCGGGCACATTTGAAACTTTATTCATGTGCATCGTTTGCCGTTGTTGCTGCTGCTCTGTCATTTTGTTGTTTATTTCAGAAATAAATGAAATAAAATAAAATAAAAAATGAAAATTGAGAAAAGTTTTTTAGTTATTTTCTTGTTTCTAGATCATTTTTTGTGGTCTGTTTACTGCTGAGTGAATATTTCACTCATTTTTAATATTTTTGTTGGAATTTTTTCGTACCAGTTCCAATTGCGGGAATTTGCTTGACTAAAGCAGCTGCAGCTCCTTTTTGGCATAGTTTGCATTCCGTCAGAGTCTGTGATTGAAAGGCATTTCTGGCTTTTTCGGAGATGTGATTTTCGCTCTGAACATTTGTTGCATGTCACATTGTTGCTGCTGCAACATAGTTGTTACAAGTAGTTGGAGCTGCTGCTTTTTGGTTCGGTTCGGCTTACAAATGTTGCAACGTGCAACTATTAAATAGTTTTGCAACAGCTGCCACTTCCATCCAAGGAGCTGTAGAAGCTGCCACAGGAACTTTTTGTGCCACTTAAATGTAACCCAAAAATTTCCAAAAGTCCCAAACAACTTTTGCCCTGTTCCTCGCCGCTCCTTTTTAAACAAAAGTCAATTGTTTGTTGTTGATTTGCCTTGTGCTCTGGAACGGAACGGAGAAAATGAATCAAAAGTGTCCAAAGATATTTGTTTGAATATTCGCACTTTGGTTTCTACTTTCTAATCAATGCACATATTTTGTATATTTTGCGTTACGTATTTCGTTCTTGAAAATGTTTTATATTAACATTTATTGTTAAAGCTTCTCATTAAATTTAAAATTTCTCTAAAACAATAACCTTGCTTGCACTAAGCAGCAAGTAAATAAACATAAGTTCCATGTGCCCACTTAATGTCTCTTGGGTAAATATTGATTTCAGCCACTGTTAGAATTGGAGTCCGCACCATTCCCATTTGGTGGAATTACAATATATTTATTGCCTATTAATTTGCCCAACCGAATGCTTTCCAGAACCCATTCCCGCTCACCTATGCTTGCGACTACTACATAAATCTAAGTTTTCTTCAATCAAATGTATATTATTTGCCAAGTAAAGCATTTCACAAAACCATTGTGATATTAAACGTTATTAATATGTAATAAAGAAGGTAAATATCGGGCATGGTTTCCCCAAGTATTTGCTTGACTGCCTGTGATAGATGTTGTGCTGCATGCTCGCAGCCTGTTAAAACTTTGTCAATACAACTAACTACATAATTTCTATCTATACATCAATTTATTTATCTTTCTAACTATCTGTCTATCTACCGGTGTTTCATTGAAATTAACAAACATCATAATAATTTCCTTACACACTCAAAAGCATTTGTTGTGTGGCTAGTCTCAAGGAAAACTTATTGTCTACATTCGCACTAACTTGAAATACAGTCGTTTGTCTTGGTTTGTAGCTCATTATAAATGTTGCTTCACTATTCAGGTGTATTTTAGACAAAATTGTATTCAATTTGCTTGAGCAAGTTTGAATAAGATGCATCCAGTTGAAACAATATATGTGTTGAATTAAGAGTTTGAAATAGTAACGTTCCGAAATATCTTATGCATATGAATTTCGCTCAATTTTCTTCTTTAACTTGTTCCCCTTTCCACAAGTATGCACCTTACTTTTAGTATACACTCATTAAAGTGTCATTTTCAAGGTCTGAAAATTGTATAGGAATCGGATCATAAGCACAGAAGTTATGTAGGAATTCTTCTTTACAATTTAGGGCTAAGAAAACGCCACTGGTGTACGTATTTGTGTAAGTACACACATATTTGTATAAATGTTGTCCATTACGTTCCAATTATATATATGACTCAACTTTTCTTTGATACATGCTTTTGTACAAACTAAGGCATAAATTTGAAATAGAAATATTAAAAAAATTAATTAGAAGGGAAAAGACTCTCATCAACATGGCGTATAATTAACGCCAAGCAAATTCAAATTGCGACAAATTAAAAGTGGCCAGAAAATTGTGCCTATAAAGAAAATAGAAAATATAAAATAAAAGAGAGCTTGTCAGAAACAAAAAAGAAGGAAAGGAAAAACGTTGTTGAAAAGTGGCCAAGCAAATCGGCGTATTATAAACTAAATGAAGGCAGCTATAAAGTAATTTAAATGTCGACCAGAGCCGAGCGGAGAACCAGCTCGAAAAGGACGGCTTACACACATTTAATGAGCGCCCGGGCTCAGCGAGAAAAACTCGTTAACAGCACTGGACACAAAAGAACTTAACGGCAAACGGTGTGCAGGGAGAAAGAGGAAGAGGGTTCCTGAATAGCGCAGCATAAAAGAAAAGGTAGCAAAGTTGGATGAAAAACCAGTGAGGGACGCAACTTGAAAAAAAGGACAATTTTCATTTGAAAGGTCCTGTAAGCGTTGTGCGCGAAGGGGGAGGCGAGGGGGGGGGGGGGCTTGCTTGGGGCAGCCGATCAATGTACACCATTGTGTGTGCGCTGTCAACGTCGGACGCTGGGCGAAACGCCAATCATTCAACTGATTAGTTTGATTTTAGCGTTACGTTATTTCCGTAATCAATGGAGCTGCAATGGAAGCGACCAATCGAATGGACAGCGCTGCGATGAGTTAGCTTTTTTGCAGAAACTGCTCCTGGACAATGGACCTCAGGGGCTACACACACACACACACACACCCACACGCACACACACTGACACACTCGAAAGACAATAACAAC